GGGAGGAGCTATAGGGAGACAAATTCCCACTTAGTGTGTGAACATTTCCTCTGATATAAAGATATGCCTGAACATGCAGAATGATCTGTTTTATAAAGCCATTACTATATTATGTAAGGACCACTCTCAAAACTTTTAAAAAAAGATTTCATTTATTTATTATGTATACAGTGTTCTGCCTGCCTGCATATATCCCTGCATACCCAAAGAGGGAACCAGATCTCATTATAGATGGTTGTGAGCCACCATGTGGGTGCCAGGAATTGAACTCAGGACCTCTAAGAGATCAGCCAGTGCTCTTAACCTCTGAGCCATCTCTCTAGTCCTCCAAAGTTCCTTTCAATGCAGCTTCTGTGTGCCATCTTTGAAGGGTACTGATGCACGTCATAACTGCCATCCTTACAAGTGGAGGGAGCCCCTTTGTTTATTTCCTTTTTTGTTTGGTTTGACCGTGCTGGGCCTTGTGCCTGATAGACAAGAACTCCACTCCTCAGCTCTGTATGTCCGCTGGGATTCCTTTGACACAATGGAATCTCCTACTGTTAGAAAACGGGACTTGGAAACAACTTCAGAGATGTTTTAGGGTGAAATTGGTTCTCTCAATAGGGGAAGATGAACTCTCAGTGGAGCCAAGTAATGTGTTCATCCATTTGCTTTCTGTGAGCTTTCAGGGTGCCCTGGAAGAAGAAAGAGGGTGCCCGAGACACACCACGGCCATCTTGTTCTAGTGGGCTCCCTTTCTAGGTTCATTTCTATTGCTGTGATTTTTAAAAAAGCTAATTGGAGGAGAAAGGGATTTGTTACAACTGACAATCCCAGGTTGTGGTTCATTATTAAAGAGGAGTCACCGCGGCAGGGCCTTGAGAGAAATGGTCACATTGCATCCACCTTTAGAGCAGAGGAAAATAAATACATGCTTGCTTGCACTCAGCTACATTCTCCACTCTTATACAGTCCAGGACTCCATTGCCTAGGGAATGGTGTCGCCCAAAGTGGCCTGGGTCTTTCCGCATCAATTAAGACAATCCCCTCATAGGCGTGCATCAAGGCTGACCCAAAGAAGCTGATCAATCCCTCGTTGAGGCTCTCTTCCCAGCTGATCCTAGGTGGTGTCAATGTCTGAAAGTCATGTTGTCCTTCTGCCCTGCTCTAAATGAAAAGGGGAGAGATTGTTTCTCAGTGTGGGAGACCAAGAAAGCAGGACTTCTGTTTTCTGCTTTCTCGCTCTGAACTGTATGAAAGCCACATCCCACATCTCCCTCCCCGCACCCCCAGGACCAGAAGGACTGGCCTACCATACTGAGTATATTTAGATAAATACTCCTACCTGCCTGGCTCCCAAACCTTACTTTTTAGGAGAGAAAGGCATTTATCTGTTAGGTTAAATGCTTCTTAATCCTGTCATCTCACATTCATCTAAAAGCAGGATATGTTATATGTTCATAAAATAGAGACGGAAAAAGAACTGCCAGGTAAACTGAAGGAATCTTCTATTTTCCAAGTCCACCTGGTTCATCGTTGTGGAGCCCAGTGGGCATGTTCAGCCAACCCTCCCCTGGCCCGATTTTATTTATGGGGGCTTTATTTAGTCTAAAGCAAATTCACAAAAATATATGTAAGTGGTGTTTACATTAACATTACATTAAGAAATTGGTTTACCATCTGGCCACGAGCCAGTGGACTCATTACTCTGAGAGGGAAGGAGAGGGAGAGAGGTTAGGAGAAAGGAAAAAGAGGCTGGAGGTAAGGGAGGGGATGGAGGAAGCAGGGGAAGCCTGCCAGGTTTGCTAACCTGCTTAGGCTAAGTCTTCCTCAGGCCCCTCCAGTTCTCCTCAGAGGAAGGACTCTGTCTCCTCAGAGCTTTGACAGCTCTCTCTGCAATGAGGCCTAAATGGATTTAAATCCTTCTGATTCCCTGGGTCTTTTATATTGAAGTGGTTACAGTATTGGAGTTCTGACCATTTTATAGTGGAGAAAGGTGCTGGGAGACAAAGGGATGGGAAGTTAGGGGGAAGGTAGAGGCCGGGAGCCCTGCCTGGCTAGTTTCCTTTCGGGTATGCCTAACTGGCCAGTCACTTACATGCCATATTCCAGTTTCCTGATCTGTTTAATTAAAAAAAAATGTCATGAGGTGCTATAAGGATAAAATGACACAATCTAATAATGTCCTCAGCACAGTTCCTAGCACATGGGAAATTTTAATTGTTAAGAAGCAAAGTTATAAAAAATATCCTTCCAGAGGGGCATGGTGGCACAAGCCTTTAATCCCAGCACTCAGGAGGCAGAGGCAGGCAGGTCTCTGAGTTTGAGGCTAGCCTGGTCTCATATATAGTGAGACTCTCTCTCTCTCTCTCTCTCTCTCTCTCTCTCTCTCTCTCTCTCTCACACACACACACACACACACACACACACACACACACACACACACACTCACTCAATATCACAAGAACAAAACAAAAACACTTCATCATAATAGAATCATAGAAATCTATTCGTGAACAGGATTTTATCTAATCCTGTGCCCTACAGGGTCTTTTTGTTTGTTGTGGTTTATGGCTTTTTTTAAAGGCAGGATTCTTAGTGCAGAATATTATTTTTTTAAAAAAAAGTGATGTGCCAGTGGAATAGAGCAAGGTCGAATGGATGCCCTGCGTTGATCAGCTTCATGTTACAATAATGAACGGCCTCGGTCAGGGTCCATCCTTTTCTATTGCTGTGCAAACACCATGACCACAGCAGTGTACAGAAGAGCTGGGACACCCAAGGGACCCGATGGGAGGAAAGGAGGTCTAAGGGAGTGAGCAGTGGGGGTGTGCGGTGGAGTATGTTCAGAGTACATTATACGCTTGCTTGAAGCGTCCTTGTGATCTTTTTAATAAGAATATTAAAGCCACATCCCAATATGATCTGCCCTGGGCCCCACCTCTCAGGGCTCCATACCCTTTCTTCCCGGTAGCAGTACCCTGGAGACCAAGCCTATAACACATGGACCTTTGGGAGGCACTTGCCCAGACCACAGCAGATGAGCCAAGGTCTCTCCTTGTCTTCTCCCACCTTCAGCCTCTGGAAGATTCTGAGGGAGGCTCACGACTCCTCCCAGAGCACACTTGACAAACCACCCATCAGGTCTACACCGCCATGTCACTGAAGGATGATGAGTGGCACTCAAGTGAGCAGCGACTCTTTCATTAGTACCAGGAGCTGTAGCCTGGTTCCTGTTAGACCGTCTCCTGCCACAGCATGAGAAAGAACGGGACCAGAACATGTGGGGACACATGACAGAACTCCAGAAGAAGCCTCAAAGATCTAGAGCCTCGGTGTACCCTTCTGAACCTTTCTCCCTACAGTGAGATGACCATCTTTTGGGTGGCCCATTTCCATTGTCAGATTAATTTTAACTTTCCAGTCTCCCGAAAGGACTTCCTGTAAACTTCCAGTGCCTGCCTGAGAGCCTCGAGGACAAATAGCTCCGTAGGTTTCCTTGCGCTCTGACGGCAACTCACCCCCTTCCTGAACCCTCAACCTTTTGCCGTCTGTGGTCTCAGTGAGAGAGAAGTCAAATGCTGTTGCTTCCCAAGTGCTCTAACTTTTCAGGCATTTTACTTCAGCCCCCTGTGACCAGACTATTCTTTCAGGCATCCTGGCTGAGTTTGGAAATGTAAACATCAAAGCCCGAGTCTGTGAAAGTTGGAAGGCGTGTATTTTCTTTGAGATAAGGCTGTGTTTGGACAAACAAGCTCAGAGTGTTTGGAAAAGGAGAAGGATGCAGCGCCGTGTGTGACTGACCACCATGTTCCTTACACACGTGGCCCCCTCTGTCTAGTTCATGTGTCTCCATGGCCCTGTGGAAAGCTGAAAGTCTTGTTTGTGAAAAAGTTGTGTTGGAGGTGAGGGGAAGCCAGATGCCCCCTTGGCATAAACAATGGCAGATTCGTTGATGGGCACTTGTTACCTGCTCTCTGCCAAGTTGAGAATGCCCACCTCCTCTCTCGACTGGGGACTCCCTAAAGCTGCATTCTTTGCATGTGTTTTTGAGGTCTCCCCCTCAATTCACAGCCTGGCTTCGAGTTGGTCATTGAAAGTACTTATTGATTGTTTAAAAATTACCCGAGCTTTAAAATCAAACATTGAAAAAACTTATTGTTTGGGGACTCTTTCTGTACCAAAGGAAAAGATACACCGCCATGGTATTTTTCTGGGAAAGATATAAATATATAATTGGGTCAAAGACTACTGTTCTGACAAAGCAGAAAGATTCCCTTGTAGGAACCAAAGTTTCTGTTCTAGGCCAACAGAGCTAGACTAAAGACAAGATAAATTGTGGAACACCAATGAGAGAAAAAAAATATCACAAGTTAATTCGTACTCAGTGTATGCCTGGTACAAATCAAAGATCTTCACTGAACTTATGTAGTCTTCAGATCAGCCCTATAAGCTGGCCTGTTGTTAACTCTTGCCTGGTTAAAGGCATCCACACACAGTAATGGGAGGTTGAACTCCGAGGCCACTTAACTACCGATAACTGGACAGTTGAGGGTGGTAATGAAGAAGGAAAGTAATCCAGGCCATAACCATAGGAAAAATACAGAAGACACACAGCTCAGGTGACTTGTTGAAGGCACTGGTGTCCTGCTGTGTTTGTACTCTGGAGAACGGTGGCAAAGAGTCTTCAGTCTGTTTTTCTGAAATTATTTCTTGCTCTGGTCTGACAAAGAATTTGGTAAAAGATCTATCTCTTTGATTCTATTAACAAATCATATTTCTTATATGATGTACGTACACATTTCACCAGCAGACGGGACCCAAGTGATTATTAATCCATCGGCGTGGGAATGTTTGTATGTCTCCATTATTCCTATAATGTGAAATGGAGGTACAGGGAGGCAAAGATCGTTAGTTATAGAGTAGATGCTCAGGCCTGGCCTTCGGAGTCTATGCTCACATAAGCCTTGGTCCCCTCAGGCTATGGTGTGAACATGAGCTGCCTTTTTCTCTTGCAGGTTTTTCTCTTGGGTGGCCCTTGGAATATCTTGACCTGTTCCTGAGGAAATACTGCTTTCCTGATCCCCACTCAGTCATGAACCAACTAGACCTCGCTGATGAACCAGATCCCAGCCTTGAGCCCTTGTGCACGGTGTGCGGCCAAAACCACTCCCCAGAAGAAAACCACTTCTACACCTACACGGAAGACGTGGACGACGACCTCATCTGCCACATCTGCCTGCAGGCATTGCTGGACCCTCTGGACACTCCGTGCGGGCACACCTACTGTACCCTGTGTCTCACCAACTTCCTGGTGGAGAAAGACTTCTGCCCGGTGGATCGCAAGCCTGTGGTTCTGCAGCACTGCAAGAAGTCCAGCATCCTGGTCAACAAGCTTCTTAACAAGCTCTTGGTCACCTGCCCGTTCCCAGAGCACTGCACCGAGGTGCTACAGCGATGTGATCTCCAGCATCATTTCCAGACAAGGTAGGAACCCTTCCTCCTCCTTTCCCGGGGCCAGGGAGTAAGACGCCAACCGGGGTGCAGTGAGGAGTCACTCACCTCCCTAGGGCCTGGCACTCCCCATGCCCTGGCACGCCTGGCACTCCACAGGATGCCTGTTCTTTCTCTTTGTGTCTGTTTCAAAAAGACACAGTCTAGGTGTTCATGGCGGTGAACCAGTGTGAGCAAATGTCACTAAATGGGATTGTGTTGTGTGTATGCCCTTATGTGTTTATGGTTTTTTTAAAAATGGTGGTGTGAAATGTTAGGGTTTGGATATCAATTATCACCACTGGGTCATGTTTTCAAATGCCTGGTTCTTGGCCAAATGGTGCTATCTGGAGATGTGGCAGAAGCTTCGCAAGATGGGGCCTAGCTGGAAGAGATAGCTTACTGCTGCATACCTTTGAGGTTATGCTAGGCCCCTGTTCCCTCTCTCTTTTTCCTGGCTGCACTCCTCACCCAGATGGACAGAAACCTCTGAAACTGTGAGTCCAAATAAATCCTTCTATACGCAAGCCATCTCTCTTTTTAATTGGTGTAGGATCTACATTTATTCACTTACTTATGTTCAATTTTAATTTTTATTGGCATATGCTCATCATATAGAGTATTGGATTTTATAATGGCAAATTGTTTCAAATAAATCAACTAAGTCCTTAAATGAGAAATTCAGAAAACTATCACCCTTCATTCTACTTTTCTTTCTCTTGCTGTGATAAGTATCCCAACCAAAGCAACTTGTCTTAACACATCCCAATCACTGTCCGTCATTAAAGGAAGCCGAGGCAGGAGTTTGAGGCAGGCTCTGGAGCAAAGGCCATGGAGGAACACTGTTTACTGGCGTATTCCCTGGCTTGCTCAGTGTTCTTTCTTATAGCATCCAGGAACAAGGTTGACACCACGCACAGTGGGCTGGGTACCCTCCTGCATCAGTCCTTAATCAAGAAAACGTCCCCCAGACTTGCGTCCTGGCAATCTGATGGAGGCATTTCTCAACTGAGGGTCCCTTCCCAGGTGACTGTCGCTTGTGTCCAGCTGACATAAAAATTACCCAGGACACCCTCTGAGTGACTGTTTCTGTTTCTCTTTTGGCCAAGGTACACACAATGGTGGCAGAAATGAGATGCGCTTCTTGCTGCTGCTGACTGGCACCCCCTGCTCCCCCACTTGCTTCTCAGTTTGGTCCTTTTCACTGTTGTGTGCCTGGGCATTCCTGTGTGGGTGGCCTCACTGGTGACTCTGGGCCTGTTACCCATGAGGCACTCTTCTCAGCACACTTAAGGTGCTTAATCAACGGTGAACAATAATACCACAATTATTTTTGTAAGAGGAAATCTGCAGGCTTGTATTTATCTTGGTTCCTGTCACAGCCGGGGCAAGAGGCAGATGCATGTTATTTTTTTTTTAAAGGTCACATACCTTAGGTCATGAATCTGTGGCTTTGTCTTGTGAGACATAAGTAGATTCTCTAACATGAAAGTTTTTTTTATCATATTAGGGCCTAAGTTTAGTGCTTAGCACATGTTTACCATGTTGGTTATGACACTGGACTCAAGATGCCCAGCCAGAAGTTTTTAATATAGGTTTGCAGTACATGCTGCTTTCAGACATGGAGACCCACCTCTATAGTTTCCCAAAAGAAGGTGTGGTAAAAGGAGACTGTGGGAGGGAGCCTCTTGGTGACCATTGCTGATAATTTTGGTCAGGTGTCAGAGGCATTGGGGAGAGGAAAGTAATTTCCCAAGGTCAAAGATAAGGTAAGTTCTGGTCCAACTATGCCAAGACCAGGGGACACACTACATAGGGAATATAGAAGACCTAAGGAGAGAGGGTCCTGGTGGAAATCCCTCTGCCCATGTGCCCATGTCCTGTCCTGCCATCTTTTCTTCTATTTAGGATGTGTTGGTTCCCTGTTGCTGCTATAACAGTGATCACAAGCTTTCTGACTTCACACAACTCAAATTTATTATCTCAGAGTTCTCTGGAGGGTTAGAAATCTAATATGGGTGTCACCGACCAACATCATGGGGTCTCTGGGTTAGATTCCTTCGGGCTGCAGGGAAGGCTGTCACATCTTACCCTTGTCAGCTTCTAGATGCTTCCTTCCTGGGGGTGGCCAACCAGTGATAAAGGGATAGCATCACTGGAGTAGACTGTGGCAACCTGTGGGGCTACAGGGAAGAGAATCCATACTTAGCTGCCCCAACAGAACTTTCATTCATCCCCTGCCCACGCTTCCCCGTGACCAGAACTTCTCAAGGAAGCTGAGAGGAAAGTGTTGGCAATCACACAATTGGTAATGATTTTCACTTGGGAAAGAGCTGTGAGGGAGGAACCCCAGACTGACAGAAATCCAGTCACCTCTTCAGGCTGTGGCTCTCTGGGGAGGAAACCCCCACCTCAAGGAAGCATGGGCCTCAACACCTGCACTTGCACCTCTTCCTCCACACTAGAGCTGCCTAAGTAGGTTGACACCAGCATTTCCCAAAATACACATTAGTCATCAAGTGCTTAATATATACACAGATGCCCTCCATTACCAGCCCTAGCATTTGTGGGCAAAGACTAAGAATTTGGAACTAACCCTGGACTTGCCTTCTGATCCTTCATAGGCCATGCCCATTACTGGTCAGTAAACCACCTTTTCCTTCCCTTAGAAGGAACTTTAAGAAGACCCAATAGTGCTGGGCAGTGGTGGCGCACACCTTTAATGCCAGCACTCAGGAAGCAGAGCCAGGTGGATCTCTGTGAGTTCAAGGCCAGCCTGGTCTACAGAGTGAGATCCAGGACAGGCACCAAAACTACACAGAGAAACCCTGTCTCAAAAAAAAAAAATCAAAACAAAAAGATGACCCAATAACTATTGCTTTAGGTGTCTGTTGAGCTAGGAAGACTCAGATGACCAGGAGATAAGTGTCCTTTGGCATGAGGCCTCAAGGATTATGACTAATGGTTGGGACCATTGTCCTGTGGATATGCTGGGGAGAGCTTTTGTGAAGACATTTTGCTCTTTTTTTTTTTTTTCTCATTTTTTGAGACAGGGTCTCATGTGGAATAAATTGGCCTGGACTGCTATATGTAACTGAAGGATGACTTTGAATTCTTGATCCTCCCACCTCCATCTCCTGAGTGTTGGGACCACAGACCTACAGCACCACATGATACAGTTTAGTTTTGCTTCTGGTTTTTGATTTTTCAAGACAGGGTTTCTCTCTATACCCCCAGTGGTGCCAGAACTTGTCTACAGACCAGGCTGGTCTCAAACTCAGAGATCTGTCTGCTTCCCTCCCAAATGCTAGAATAAAAGGCATGCATCACCACTGCCTGGCTACAATTTAGCATTTTTGATCATTCTGTATTGTCACTTTATTTGGTAGATACACATATAAACAATTTTTTTTTAACTTGACAAAAATTGCTGTGCTGGGAATGCAACTTACTTGGGTAGAGTGCTTGACTACCACAAAGCCTTGGGGTTGATCCCCAACACCACATAAACCAGTGTAGTGGTGTACACCCATTATCCCAGAAATTGAGTGGTAGAGGCAGGATTAAGAGTTCAAGGTCATTCTTAACTATATAGGGAGTTCAAGGTTAGCATAGGCTACCTAATACCCTGTCTCCAAGAATACATTTATGGTGTATAGCATCATCCTTTAAATATTGATGCATTGTGGAGTGGATTAATTAAGGTATTTAACATGCATTACTCATACCAAGCTTTTGGTGCTGAAAACTTACAAGATCTGTTGAAAACTGATAATATCAGAGAGGAGGGCTCGTTGACTTTTTCCTCTTATTTCACTGAATTTCACATCCTTAACAGATGGTAGCCTTGCGTCTGGGGTACAGCTGCATCACATCTGTAAACAGACGCCATGATCTCTGGGATCCTGGCCATGTACACACAGTGACCTTCAGAGCCTGAGCTGGGGGAAGCTTTGGTAACACATGCAAGATGAACTGTGACTGTGAGCTAGTGGCCGATCGTTGACACTTGCCTCTGATTAGAGCATTCTGGGGGTGTTGGGAGCCAGGGACCCAGTGTGTGGAATCTGCTCGGGTGCTGTTGACTTCTGCCCTCTTATTTACATGCCTTTAGATTATGTCGCATGTCTGCTCAAAAAGGTCCCAGTAGGGGGCCGGGCTGGTTGAGTTGGATGGCAGCCTTCCCAACCAAGATATGATTCCAGGAGATGCCATGGTGCTGCAGCAAAAGGCCTGACTGGAAAGTCTCCCTCCTTACCTGTGTCATTGGGAGAGCGTGAGCGGACACCAGCTTGCTACCCTCTGGCCTCTGATCAAGACAGTCAACACCTCGTCTTCACTTTGTGACAACCTCTTCCGCATGCACGACATTTATCAAGGGCCATAATGGTCTAAGTCCCAGTGAAAGAGACCGAGTTCTGCTTCTGAGGAAATGACCTCAGAAGGGTAAAGAAGAGAAGCGGCAAAACATCCCCTCTGAGTCGCTTCCTAGGCAGGGCAGCCCACCCTCTGCCTCTCATCCTCTGGACACTTTGGTTGTGAGCCTAGAGTGGCTGAGTCGCCTCTCCAGCTGGTTTCTCTTACTCTTTCAAAGTGGTAGACAATAGAACTGGCCCTCCCTAAGGACCTGCTGGCAAGGAGAAAGAGATCATTGTTCAGTGTTTTGAAAGAAGCTGGAATGAAAACATGATGGAATTGGCTTCAGCCCCACCTGGCTGCAGGTTCCCGGGGAGGAGTGTCTTGATTAAGTCTGGCCAGTGTCCTAGGAGTACCTTCTTCAAAGATCTACCCTGGGCCCTCTGTTGACCTTGACTGCTGCAAGGGGCCCTTTTCTGTTGCTTTCGGTGCAGTCCAGGCTTAGCTGGCTGTCCACAGTCTAGGCAGGATTTCACTGCAGGGAGAAAGGAAGCCCGGGCATCACTTTGAAACCTGTAAGCATGTTACTAGTCAGTGTGTGTGTGTGTGTGTGTGTGTGTGTGTGTGTGTGTGTGTGT